TAATACATCCTATTGATTAAAAGAATACTCCTTCATAATCTTTCAATATTTTTTTTCAACGGCTTATTAATTTTTAAAGACAACTTAATTTAAGAAAAGAATATACATTACATTCATCAATAAGAGTTTAATTGAATTAGTATCTATTAATTTAAAATTTTTACTTAAGTTAAGAGATTCAAATTTCTATAATATCAGGTAATTAATTCTCTAATGTATAGAAGAAAAAAAAATACATTACAGTCAAATATGGAATTCCAAGTTTCCAACAATCTATATTTATGAGCGGATGAGTCCCCTAATATTAATTAAGTACGTGATTTGAAGATTGAACTATCCATTTGTCAACTAAAATGAAAATCATCATAATCTCTATACGATCACAACATTATACAGTAGTTTCAAAAGGTACCCTTAATTGAAATTACCTTAGATTATGTTTAGTATGAAAATATATTAAATAAGTAATTTGTAGACTAAAGTGTCCTTTGTCTACTAATATGTGAACCCTCGATAATTTCTTTAGGGCCACAACATCATCTAGTAATTTCAAAAACCACCCTTAAAAAATGTTTAGTTTGAAAAAAAAAAAGAGATTATTCAAATTCAAGTACATCGCAGTGATTAAAAAAATATTTCTTTGAAATCTTTTAATTTATTTTTATGGCCTATTAATTTTTAAAAATAACTTAATTTAAAAAAAAGAATACATTACATTCAAATATGAAATTTCAAGTTTCCAACAACCCACATCATATAAGGAAATGGGGTCCCCTTTGAAGATTGAAGTGTTCATTTCTCCACTGATAGGAGATTCCTTATAATTTCAATGGCTTAATTTAATTTTTAGTCTATTAATTATCACCTTGATTTCATTTTAGTCTAGAAACTATGTTTTATTTCTAAGTGGTCTATTAACTTTCATATTCATTTCAATTTCGTCTACTTGATCAAAAATAACGGAAAACTTCCTATTCTGTTAGAGAACAGTTAGTCCTCTAACTATATTTTTTTATCTTTTAGTCCTCAAATTTATATTTGTTATAAAAATAGTTTTTATACTTAAAATTATTATTTTTAAGCTCCGATACCAGATTTTTATACTTAAAATTATTATTTCTAAGTAGTCTATTAACTTTCAGGCTTTGATACCAAATTAAAGAAATAGGAAAACTCGTATAAAAATCTGGTATCAGAACTTATAAATAATAATTTTAAGTAAAAAAGCTATTTTTATAATAAATATAAATTGAAGAACTAAAAGATCAAAAAAATATAATCAAAAGACTAACTGTTCTCTAACTAATAGGAAGTTTTCCGTTATCTTTAACCAAGTAGACGAAATTGAAATGAATTTGAAAGTTAATAGACCACTTAGAAATAAAACATAGTTTCTAAACTAAAATGAAATCAAGGTGATAGTTAATAGATTAAAAATTAAATTAAGCCTAATTTCAATTAAAGAAAGTACTTTTGGTTTGGTTGCATTTGAACGGTGCGTTTTACTTAATAAAAATGAAAATTTCTTTAAAATGAGGTGTGGACCCCAATCGTCCCCTTTCATCATATTTCCCAATCAACTGAAATTTCGAATCAGTCTTAAGCCCTTGTTTGGATAGAAAATAGTAAAGGGAAGGGAAGGGAGGGGAATGGAGGAAAATAAAAGGAAATGGAGGGGGAGGAAAAGAAAGGAAAGGAAAGAAAATAGAAAGAAATGATTTGTGTTAATTTTGTTTGGATAAATAAAAATTAGGAAGGGGAAGGGAAGGGAAGGATTGTATTATTTTATATTTGGACAAATAAAGTAAAATTTAAAGATATATTAAAGCAAAACCAAAAAAACCTTTTTATGTTCACACTGTATGTTCGCATTTATTCACACTTATAAATTATATAAATTTTATGTTTTGAACCCTGAACTGGTTCGGAACCAGTTCAAAAATACTTTCTTTTCAGAAATTATTATGTTTTTTTTTTATTTATTTCCCCTTTTATTTTTATTAACTAAAAATGACCTGCAGCATTTTTTACGAAAAAGTCTAAAGCTCATCTTTTCCTCTTCTCCACCACAAACTGAAACCCTATCTTCCTCATTGCTGCCGAATCTCCTTCCTCACCAAAGCCATGGCCGTCATCAATCTTCATCATCTTCTCTCCTTCATTGCTGCCGAACCCCTTCCTCAGTGCTGCCGAATCTCTTTCCTCACCAAAGCCATGGCGGTCGAGCATTCCAGATCTAACAAATCATGAAGTGTCAATCTTCATCATCTTCTCTCCTTCATTACTGCCGAACCGCTTCCTCACCAAAGCCATTACCCTATCTTTCTCATTGTTGCCGAATCTCCTTCCTCACCAAAGCCATGGCCGTCGAGCATTCCAGATCTAACAAATCATGGTGTCGATCTTCATCATCTTCTTTCCTTCATTGCTGTCGAACCCCTCTCATGGCCGTCGGACCACTTGCAGGCCAGATCTAACAAACCACTACAACCCTCTATTTTTTCCTTCTTTTTTTTTTTTCCCTTGATCATTGCTTTGCTGTTTTTCCCTTTTTCTGTTCTTTCTTTGTGTTGATGGTGATTTCTGGTCGCAGGCATTGATCAAAAAGACCAATCTTAACCCAAGAAAGATTTGGCCTCACCAAAGCCATGGC